TAATTTTTTTCAAATTTTCATCTTCTTCTCCATAACCATTGGACCAATATCAACCAAACTTGGCACAAAGTATCCTTGGGTAAAGGGGATTTTAGTTTGTTCAAATGAAGAGCCACACCCTCTTTTAAGGGGAGAAAATAAAGATAAAAGTAAAAATTGGTTGGGGTCATTTAAAAATCTTCTCAAGAACCACCAGAAAAGAAGAAATGAAAGCTTCCTGACATAGTGTAGATTCAAGTTTGTTCAAATTTTTACATGGGTATAAATAGGAAAAATCTTTAAAAATCTTCTCAGGAACAGCAAGCCTTGATTAGTCATATTTATATGGAAGCATCCATAAGTAGTGTAGATTCAAATTGTTCAAATCATGACCCTTGGGTTTAGGGTGTGGCCACTATGAGCGATTTCGTCCCAGTTCCCAAGTAACTATAAGCCCTACCTGGACCAAACTTGCCTGGATATGCATCTAGGGATGGACGCTACCACACTTTCTTCGGATGCTGGATCTGACCTAGATTTTCCAGATGAGTGACCAGGTTAAAGTTTTTGGAGCAGGTCCATTCCCAAGTAACTATAAGCCCTACCTGGACTAAACTTGATGGATGATGCATATAGAGATGTTCACAACGTTACCACACTTGCTTCAGATGCTGGATCTGAGCCAGATTTTCCAGATGAATGACTAGGTTAAGATTTTGGAACAAATCCATTCGAAAGTAACTATAAACCCTACCTGGACCAAACTTTAATGGATGATGCATCTAGGGATGTACACTAACCAACCTGCTTCAGATGCTAAATCCGACCTGGATTTTCCACATGAGTGAATTTTAGCCTAAGGATGGAAACTTCCAGACTTGCTTTGGATGTTGGAACTGATCAAAATTTCTTGATTAGTAAACAGTTTAAAAGTTATTTTGAGCAGGTCTTTTTCCAAGTAACTATAAGTCCTACTTAAACCAGACTTGCATGGATATTGATCTTGGGATGTACACTAACTAGAAAAAAATATGTGAGATTTGCCTTACTTATAGATAACATTCGTCGAGGTGAGCTTCGTAATCTTTGGTTACCTGTGTTTGAAATTTTTGGGCAACATTGCTTCGTCTATCAGTTAATTCTGTTTTATACTTCCATGGATCCTTTACAGTGTTGTATTATACTCAGTTGACCGTTAGGGCCCTTGGGCCTCTTGTTTGATGATGTTCATGATTTATTGGAGAATAAAGTCTGTGGCATTTCTTTGATCTTGGCAATTACTGGAGTAGAATACTGTATAATGGGTATTTTTTACGTGCTGCTAATTTTTACTCATTTTTACAAGTTTTATAAATCCGTGAAGTTTAAACGCGTAAAATTTCACAGAAGAAAAAAATGCCTCACGTAAATTTTCAACATCCTATGTATGAGAGTGATGGTAATTACAGTCCCTGAAACATTCTACTTTCCCACTTGAATGGTGAGCGAACGCTGAACGAACGGTGAACGAACGCAGAGCGAACGGTGAATGAACGATGTTTGAACGCTGAACGCAACTTGGTGAACGATGTGTGAACGGTGAGCGGTGAGCAAACGCAGAATGCAGAATGCGAACGGAGCAGGAATGCAAAGTGAAAGGTGAACGAACGGTGAACGCAAGATGAACGATATATTCGGAGTGCCTCTGGTCTTTTCCTTGCATTGAAACTATTTTATTGTATTATAATGTCAGGTGCCAAAAATAAATAAATAATAAATAGGTAAACCAATAAATGAATGAATAAATAAGTCAATAAAATAAATTCTCCAAAATTGTCCTAAGAAAAATGATGCATGCACATTAAGTTTTTAATCACACGGTTTTTATTGCATTTAAACATTGCAATCGTTGCCGAATGCTGAAGTATAAACAAATCGGAGAAAACTTCTGACTTATAGAATGAATTAAAGCGGTTGTAACATCCATTCATATATCTCCGTGTCAGGGCGATTTCGTGTAAAGTAATGAAAAAAAATTAATTACAAAGGTCAGTGGACGTTTTGCATTTATACGCTCGTATTTTAAATTTTTAATACAATAAAATATTTCGTGTCATTTCTATTTTTCATGATGATTTATTTAGCAGACTTCTACATGTATATGTAGATGGCCTTGGTTATACTCGGACAAGATAATACAAAGATACATATTCATATTATGTGTTATAAATTCAATTTTCAGAACTTGATATTTAAGTAATATGCTGTTATAGTTTTTATTAAACAGACAAATGAGAGAGAGAGAGAAATATTCCGTTTTAGCCCCCCCCCCCCCTCCTTTCAGGCTTCACTAAATGTTTGTACCTATATCAAACAAAAACTGAATTTTTTTTCTAAATATATCAGACAGTGAAAGTAACTTTTTTTATCAAATCATATCCATTTGTTTGACAGTCATACTCGTTTTTATTTTCCTGCTTCAAGTTCACACGAAGTCCACGTGATTGTCCTGTGAAGCAAAATCATTTGACACTGTGCAGGTGTGAAAGTTTCGTCACATCGAAGACGAAGTGCAAGTATTTCCAACAAGTTATAACATTTATTTTTATCATTTCTAGATTTGATCCCAACATTTGTATAATAAATGAATAAAATACATTGGGCATTAACACTTGAATTTGAAACATACTCTCTGCCAATTTCAAATACCACCGCCGACACGTGCATATTTTGAACTACTATTGTTTTGTGACTTTTTTTAGATGCATGTTTGTTTTGAGACTGAAAATTTTGTTCTAAAAAAGACCTTAACTTTTTATGCCCCGCCATGAATATGGCCGGGGCATATAGTGTTTGTCATGTCCGTCTTCCGTCCTTCTGTCTGTCCTTCCGTCACACTTTGCGTTTAGCTCTGTTCAAAGCTCAGTTTCAGAGAAACTATCCAAGATGTTTTTATCAAACTTCATATGCTGATAGATATTGATGAGGGCTATGCAACTGCATCAACATTTTTAGCTCACCTCGACGGAGTCGAGATGAGCTTATGCTATACCCCCGGCGTCGGCGTCGGCGTCGGTGTCGGCGTCGGCGTTAGCGTCGGCGTCCCGGTTAAAGTTTTAGGAGCAAGTCCATTCCCAAGTAACTATAAGCCCTACCTGGACCAAACTTGCATGGATGATGCATCTAGGGATGGACACTACCACACTTGCTTCGGATGCTGGATCTGACCTAGATTTTCCAGTTGAGTGACCAGGTTAAAGTTTTTGGAGCAGGTCCATTCCCAAGTAACTATAAACCCTACATTGACCAAACTTATATGGATGATGCATCTAGAGATGAACACTACCACACTTGCTTCGGATGCTGGATCTGACCTAGATTTTCCAGATGAGTGACCAGGTTAAAGTTTTTGGAGCAAGTCCATTCCCAAGTAACTATAAGCCCTACCTGGACCAAACTTGCATGGATCATGCATCTAGGGATGGACACTACCACACTTGCTTCGGATGCTGGATCTGACCTAGATTTTCCAGTTGAGTGACCAGGTTAAAGTTTTTGGAGCAGGTCCATTCCCAAGTAACTATAAACCCTACATTGACCAAACTTGCATGGATGATGCATCTAGGGATGAACACTACCACACTTGCTTCGGATGCTGGATCTGACCTAGATTTTCCAGATGAGTGACCAGGTTAAAGTTTTTGGAGCAGGTCCATTCCCAGGTAACTATAAACCCTACATTGACCAAACTTGCATGGATGATGCATCTAGGGATGGACACTACCACACTTGCTTCGGATGCTGGATCTGACCTAGATTTTTCAGATGAGTGACCAGGTTAAAGTTTTTGAAGTAAGTCCATTCCCAAGTAACTATAAGCCCTACCTGGACCAAACTTGCATGGATGATGCATCTAGGGATGGACACTACCACACTTGCTTCGGATGCTGGATCTGACCTAGATTTTCCAGATGAGTGACCAGGTTAAAGTTTTTGGAGCAAGTCCATACCCAAGTAACTATAAGCCCTATCTGGACCAAACTTGCATGGATGATGCATCTAGAGATGAACACTACCACACTTGCTTCGGATGCTAGATCTGACCTACATTTTCCGGATGAGTGACCAGGTTAAAGTTTTTGGAGCAAGTCCATTCCCATGTAACTGTAAGCTCTACATGGACCAAACTTGCATGGATCATGCATCTAGGGATGGACACTACCACACTTGATTCGGATGCTGGATCTGACCTAAATTTTCGGATGAGTGACCAGGTTAAAGTTTTTGGAGCAAGTCCATTCCCATGTAACTGTAAGCCCTACCTTGACCAAACTTGCATGGATGATGCATCTAGGGATGGACACTACCATACTTGCTTCGGATGCTGGATCTGACGTACATTTTCCAGATGAGTGAGTAGGTTAAAGTTCTTGGAGCAAGTCCATTCCCTAGTAACTATAAGCCCTATCTGGACCAAACTTGCATGGATGATGCATCTAGGGATGAACACTACCACATTTGCTTCGGATGCTGGATCTGACCTACATTTTCTGGATGAGTGACCAGGTTAAAGTTTTTGGAGCAGGTCCATTCCCAAGTAACTATAAGCCCTACCTGGACCAAACTTGCATGGATGATGCATCTAGGGATGGACACTACCACACTTGCTTCGGATGCTGGAACTGACCTACATTTTCCAGATGAGTGAGTAGATTAAAGTTTTTGGATTAAGTCCATTACCAAGTAACTGTAAGGCCTATCTGGACCAAACTTGCATTGATGATGCATCTAGGGACTCATAAATATTGCTAGTATTATATTTTGCTACCTTTGACTGACACCATATTCTTGGATTTTTAATTTAAGTGAAGAAAAAGAAATTGAATTAAAAAATTATTTATTTTCTAAGACCATTGTAATCTTTAAAAATACTCATCAATAGCAATAATTATTACATGATGACTTTGTAAATAAACAATCAAAAGCATTGAAACAGTTAAAGCAAGTTCATCGTTGTTAATCACTAATATGCACAGACTGCTTTAAAATTGTTCTTGCTCTTTGTTTTGTAATATTAATGTCAATATAATTGGGAAATGGTCAGAAAAGTATGTCTGTAAAACATCACACTTTACACACTCAATATGTTCATTTTTGATGTATACATGGTCCAGAAGAGAGTTGTTGTCTGTCGTAGGGTTGGATACAATTTGTTGATACTTGTATGAGTTCAGAAGTTTTAGAATCTTATGATTAGGTTTCATATGAATGTCTATGTTGAAATCTCCTAAAAGAATGTCTGTTTCTTTACTGCTTTTCATACATTCATTAAGAAGAAAGTGTTGAAGAGTGTTAAACATTGTTTTTGGTGATGAATAAAGGACTGCCAGTTGTAGACATTTGGAAGGTAGTTGTGGATCTTCAATGTTTATAATAACAGACTGTACAAATTCTTGATTGATTTTCTTTGATTTTTGTTGGCATTTAATTTGGAATTGAAGATTTGAGCTGGTGAAAACTATAATTCCATATGGTGATCTGGATCCATCTCCAGAGAGAATACATGTATCAAATCTCTGCATGCTGTAGTCTGGAATTTGAAACTGTTCATCAGGATCCCTTGAACAAAGTTTTGATTCCACAAATGTCATGATGTCAGGTTGGTAAAGGGCAACATCTTGAAGAACATCAGCATGGTGCTTGTGAAAAGATCTCACATTTTGATAATAAATTTTAAAGTTTAATTTTTCCTTCTGAGCCAGTGGTATGCATGCAAATTCTAGTTTCATGCTGCTCTCCAATCTCTGCATTTCTTGTTTCACAGAATGATCAATGTGAATTTTATTTTCATTTAGTTCTCTTATAAATAGGTTATTTATGCTCTTGACTCTACTGAGGGATACATAATGGCAGTGTGGAAAACATCTTCCATTAAAATCAACCACAACTGATTCCATGGTATCTCCTTGACATCTGTGACAAGTTTTAGCTGCAGCTGGACGGAGTGGAAACTGCTCCCTGATGACTTGTACAGATTTGTACCTTCCAACCATAAATGCTCTCTTGACTTTTGTTACAGGTGTCCATTTTTTATCAATTTTTGATGTATAAAATTTTCTTCCATTCTTTCTACAGGTTTTTCCTATAATGTCATTGTCAAATAATATCCATAGTATATCAGATTGTGTTGAATTGATAGAAAAGTTTGTGACATCCTTAAGAAAACCAGAGGCACCATTTGCTAACCCATCTTCAACATCTATGTTTACAGAAATTTCACATCTCATATTTTTGCATAAATTTAAGGTTTTCTCTAGCCCCATTGTCTTACTTGTGTCTTCTGGTATACTTTTCTTTACTTTTTCTTTTATATCCTTATCAACATCTCCTATGATATAGTCATTAGCTTGAAGAGTAAATTTTTCTTGATGTGAAAGAGCAAATATTCTTGAATTGAAGCTTCTGACATCTTTATTTTTTAGGAAGATGTGCGGAACTAACAGTGGATAATCTTGTTGAGTTTCATCTTTGTTGATTTTTCTTTCTTTCAAGATAGCAATATCCTTTTCTGTGTATTTGCATTCACGAATGCGATTCAGAATAGCAGCAAATTCCTTTGATTCACTCTGACGCATTATTTGAATTAACTGAGAAACCTTGAAGTTTTCTGTCCACAGGTTGGTTGCTAGTGGTCCATAATCTTCCTTGAGATTCTCAAATATCCAGCCATCAAATACAGGTTTTAGTTGGAATAAATCCCCCACAGCCAAAACAGAAATACCCCCAAATATCTTTGATGATCCTGTTATTTGTTGTAAACGCAAATGAATATATTGAAACATCCTGTTTCCAACCATTGAAATTTCATCAATGATGATCATTTTCACCTTTTGGAATTTACATCTTAAAGTGTTTAGACGGTCACTTTTCAGTGGTTTATAAGAGAATCCCTGGTTTGCTGGTATTTGGAACAGATTATGGATGGTGTTGCCATTAATAAGAAAAGCTGCTTTTCCTGTTGGGGCTGCTAACAGAACCTTTGGCTCATCAGGATTACTTCCAGGTTGGTTATTAAAGTGACGGTTTAGAGCCTGGTAAATGGACTTAACAACTACTGTTTTGCCAACTCCAGCCCCACCCGTTAGGAAAACATATACTGGTTTATTTTCACTTTTCATGTGATGAAGAATTTCAATGAAAAAAAGGTACTGTTCTTTGTTTAAAGATTGGACCAGTGAAAAATATTCATCATCGTTCATATATTTTGTAACTATTTCTTGCAAGTCATTCACAGTATTTTCTGGAGATGTAACATTTAAAGAACCATCATAGGAAGGATATTCTAAAATTTCTCTTGTACCTTCATTGATGTCTTCCTTGTCATAAGCTTCTGAGCATGGGGCAACAATGTTCCACTGATCTTCCAGTATATCTTCATTGACTTTTTTGATGTCCTCCATTGCCTGATCTAATTCTCTCCATGTATGATTATATTCCTGCATTTTTTCTAAGATATCTGAACTATCAAGAAGGTCAACAAATCTCTGATAGTATGTTTCCCTTTGTCCAATAATTCTTTTCTCTAACCTCCATGGATGATACAAAAACAAGCATTCACGGTAAAAATTTTCTGGATCATTCTTTTCATTGTATCCCACACAGCGTATCACAGCTTGTTGTCGTCTCTTTGTCACAGATGTACATTTGACCCTTTTTGTTTTAGCTTGACAGTTTTCTTCAGTTTGATCCATATCATTTTCTTCTCTTTCATTATCACTTAAATCTTGAAGTTGGTTGTTAGTTTTTGATTCAGTTGTTGATGTCCTATAAAGGGATACATAATCAGCCAGACAAATGTTTTCCATCTCTTTTGGTCTATCCTTATATCTGGAAATGTTGTTGCTTTCTTCTATGTCAGTTGACTCATCTGGTAGGCTTTGAATTTGTTCTGTACTCTTTAACATAATAATTCTTTCATTTTCTGGAGAAGTATTGATAAAGATTACTTCTCGTGATGATTTTCTTAAAGGCATTTGAAGAATATAGTAAACAGCCTCCTGAGCAGAAACTTCCACATGGCTTAAGAATTTGTTACCAATCATTTTTACTTGCTGTCTGATGTCCAGGTTTCCCTCTCTTGCCTCTTTACAAGCATTATACAGCAAGGTACTCATTCCTCTTTGTGCTTTTGAAATATAACTGACAATATACATAACACATGCATATGCATCAAGGATGAACTGAATGTCCATGTTGGCTCTCCAGGCTTTAATAAGAATAGGGTTATAATTATTTATCCTTATTTCATCCAATTGTCTTTTCAAAAAGATTGTTGTAGTTTTAATAGATGATCTAATTGCATTGATGTATTGGTCATCAGAAAGTCTCATTTCATTAAGGAATTCCTCAAGTGTTAAATTCTTTCCTTTTTTCATGTTGTCTAAACATTTCTTTATGCGTTCCCAGTTCTTTTTGTTTTGTTCTTTGTCTTTTTCAGGTATGCTATCATCTAATGGATTCAGGATGCATGTTTCTTTCATAGGAGGCTGAGGAAAATTAAATCTGCAGTCATTTTTGTTCCTTTTCTTACATGTTCTGCCATGAGCGTGGTATTGGTATTGCACTAATTCTTCTATTTCACTGTTCTTTGCACATGAGACATGTGAATTGATAAAATTCACAATATCACTTTCTTCACTTTCTCCAAATTTTGGAGCACTTTCTATCCAGAGCACCATGTGAATATGTGGGGAACCTCGCATTTGAAATTCAACTTTATAAAAATAATCTGTCACTTTTCCAACAGGGCAGAGGGAAGACTTCAGTACTTGGTTTATGAAAATTTGAACCTGATGATCAAAATGCCTGGCACAAGTTACTGGGTCTTTTCTAAGCAGTTCTGCCTTCTTAAAGAAGCTGAACAATTTTACATCATCTTCAGAATATCTTTTCTTCTCAACTGTCCATCCTAATATTTGTAATAAATGTGTCCAGTGAGTTTCAGCTGCAGAGAATGATGTAAACCATGTTGGAATGCCAAGTTGCCTGATGAGTGCAAAAATGTCTTTTTTTGCTTTCTCCCAGTATGGAGGAGAACCTCTGAGATCGCGAAATATTCGAAATCCTTCATTCAGTCTGCAGAGTTTTTCAAGGTTTTCAGGATGTTTCAAGTACCCTGCAGAGATATTTTCATTTTTCTTTGTTTTTCTAAGGCAGATGTTTGCTTTGTCTAAAACAGTTTTAACTTGAAGCTTTTTAAATTTAAAAAATATGTTTGGAATATGGCTAGCAACCCTTCTATCCATATTTCGTAGCTCTGATCTACATATGTCACTGTATGTAACCTTTACTTCCCGCTGGCTGTTTTCTGGTCTAGCATGTCCACAAAATATGGTTGGAAAACTCATCTCTTCAGCATTTTTGTCAAAGAAAAGATTTAAAGGAGTATTACCTTCACCTGGGGCAAATGAAATAACTTTTGCTCTCTCAGTTTCAAGATCCTGAGGTTGAAGAAGAGTGTCAAGAGTACCACAAGGTAAATCCTCTTCTGGTACCTCATTCCAGTCATCTTCTTTGTGTTCTTCTTTCTCAGTACAATCTGATTCCAGTTCTTTACACTTCCAAGAGTGGTCCAATGTGATTCCCGCTTCCTTATAAAAATTACTGTTAGACATTAACCATTCTACTGCTCTGATGACTTTTTCAGGTCTCACTGTTTGATAGTTAACATGATGCTTATACGAAAGTCTTCTTTTAAGTTTCATGGGTATTGTAAAATTTTCATCAAGTACTCGTGGTAATTTTGCTACTGTTTGATTCAAATTTGAAGGGACATTGACAACATTTCCATGAAGACTTATTTGTTTTCCTCGTGGGAGCTCATGGAGCTGCATGAATGGGATCCTCAGGGATACTAATTTTTCTTCCACTTCTGTCAAATCTAGCTCGGTTGGTCTATCTGTAAAGCACATCCCATTACATTTGGAGCATGGTGGTAGTTTGTCATTAGCAACATATCTACAGCAGGTCTGGCATATCCATTCTTTTTCATCAAAACTTTTTAAAGAATTCAATATTTTAAATCTTAAGTTTTCAGATACCTGCAAACTTGCAGCTAGCCTTACACCATCTCTATACCACATTTGGAAGCAACATGTACAGATGTAGGATGGACCTTCCTTCACTGCATTATAAAAACTTGTAATCAAATTCTCCACAGTGCCCTCTTTCTTATGTTTTTTAGCACACTTTTCCTTGATTCTGAAATCCAAATCTTTTCTTTTATTCTGTTTATGTAATTTTTCGTTTTCACGATTTGCTAGTGACGAACGTTTCCTTTCATTTTCTTTTGCCTTCAGCTCACCATGCATTCTTAAATATTGTTTATGATTTCGTTCTTTCTGTCTGTTCGTGATGGAGGAGCGTTTTGCCGCATTCTCCTTTTCTCTTTGTTCAGTATTAAGTCTTACATGTACTTTATGGTTTCGTTCTTTCTGTCTGTTTGTGATGGAGGAGCGTTTTGCTGCATTCTCCTTTTCTCTTTGTTCAGTATTAAGTCTTACATGTACTTTATGGTTTCGTTCTTTCTGTCTGTTTGTGATGGAGGAGCGTTTTGCCACATTCTCCTTTTCTCTTTGTTCAGTATTAAGTCTTACATGTACTTTATGATTTCTTTCTCTCTGTCTGTTCGTGATAGAGGAGCGTTTTGCCGCATTCTCCTTTTCTCTTTCCTCACTTTTTCTGCGTATAACCTGCATATGTAAACATGCATTCTTCTTTCTTGTCTCTGAGTTGCGCTTTGCCATGTTTTCTTTAATTCGCTGTTCATTGTTTTCCCTCTTCTGTTGTTTATGGAGTTTTTCCTTCAGTCTGTTTATCAAAGATGATTTTTTTCGCTTGTTTTCCTTTTCTCTGTACCTGGGGTCCATTCTTTGAATTCTTTTCCTTTCTCTTTCTTTTTTTCTGGTACTGTGCACTATGGCATCTCTATTTTCAGAATCGATTCTACTTTGTTGTATTTGCTGAAACTTGAAATAGTCAAATAAAAGTTTTTCATCTTTTGTTTTTTCACAATTTTGGCCATCTGTTCCCTGTTGATTGTTTGGTTCTGAAGTCATGCTTAAAACTACATCATAATGATTTAGATTTTTGTGATAAAGATATATGTTTCCATCATGCAGTTGAAATTCTGGTTCTATGAATTGTCCTGAGAATTTTAGCCATGCCCACCTTGGTCCACTTTTGGTATATGTGTATACAGTCCCTGAAACGTTCTACTTTCCCATTTTTCCGTTCGCTCACCGTTCGTTCATCGTTCGTTCAGCGTGCGTTCACCGTTCGTTCACCGTGCGTTCACCGTTCGCTCTCCGTTCACAGTTTTGCGTTCACCGTTCACCGTGCGCTCGCGTTCACCGTTCACAAAGCGTTCAGCGTTCGCTCTTCGTTCCGTTCACTTTGCGTTCACCTTGCGTTCAGCGTTCACCTATCGTTCAGTTTTCATTGTCATTCGGAACTCCGAAGTGAAAGGACTTATCTTTTTGTAGTTAAGGAGTTACAGGTTTTTTTTTTTAATTTATTAACTAACATATCGTGTTTGAAGAATCATTATTTCATGAGGAAAAATATCTACGATATATATTTTTATTATTCTAACTTAGCTGTTAGGTTATTTATTAAATTACTCTGGAAAATAAATGTTGTTACAAAATATAATAGAACTAGTTCTGAGAGTTATACATAGTACTGCGGATATCCTGTTAATTTATTATCTTTAGAACGAATTAAATTGATAGTGTGGTTAAAGGAAATATTTATTTCAAATGTAATGCACTACAAAATTTCTCTACTGTAATATGTAAAGTCTATAGTTATAGAGAAAAAAATCTTTCTTCAGCGTTACTTTATATGTTTGCCATTCGATATGATTAATACCCCCCCCCCCCTTTCCCCCTAAATCGGTGACTTAGTCAGTACCGTATTTCCAGAATATTTTAATTAACATTTAAAAAAAAAGCTACGGTCTTATTTAGAACAAAAATTTAAGTCTCAAAACAAACATGCATCTAAAAAAGTCACAAAACAATAGTAGATCAAAATGTACACGTGTCGGCGGTGGTATTTGAAATTGGCAGAGAGTATGTTTCACATTCAAGTGTTAATGCTGAATGTATTTTACTAATTTATCATTCAAATGTTGGAATCAAATCTAGAAATGATAAAAATAAATGTTATAACTTGTTGGAAATACTCGCACTTCCTCTTCGATGTGACGAAACTTTCACACCTGCACAGTGTCGAATGATTTTGATTGACAGGACAAGCACGTGGACTTCGTGTGAACTTGAAACAGGAAAATAAAAACGAGTATGACTGTCAAACAAATGGATATGATTTGTTGATATAAAAAAAAGTTACTTTCACTGTCTGATATATTTAGAAAAAAATTTCAGAGTTTTTGTTTGATATTGGTACAAACATTTGGTGAAGCCTGACAGGAGGGGGGGGGGGCTAAAACTGAATATTACTCTCTCTCTCTCTCTCTCTCTCTCTCTCTCTCTCTCTCATTTGTCTGTCTAATAAAAACTATAACACCATATTGCTTAATTATCAAGTTCTGAAAATTGAATTTATAACAAATAATATGAATATGTATCTTTGTATCATCTTGTCCGAGTATAATCACGGCCATCTAGAGATACATGTAGACGTCTGCTCAATAAATCATGATGAAAAATAGAAATGACACATAATATGTTATTGTATTAAAAATTTAAAATACGAGCGTATAAATGTAATTAATTTTTTTTTCATTACTTTACACGAAATCGCCTTGACACGGAGATATATATATGAGTATAAGTTACACCCGCTTTAATTCATTCTATAAATCATAAGTTTTCTCTGATTTGTTATCAACTAAGAATAAACATTTTTATTTTCCAACTAAAAATAATATCTTTTATACTTCAGCGTTCGGCAACAATTGCAATGTTTTAATGCGATAAAAATCGTGTGATTAAAAACTTAATGTGCATGCAGAATTTATTTTATTATTTGACTTATTTATTCATTCATTTATTTGTTTACTTATTTATTTATTTATTTATTTATTTATTTATTTTTTTTTTTGGCACCTGACATTATAATACAATAAAATAGTTTCAATGCAAGGAAAAGATCAGAGGCATTCCGAATATATTGTTCATCTTGCGTTCACCGTTCGTTCACCGTTCACTTTGCGTTCGCGTTTTGCGCTCCGTTCGCGTTCTGCGTTCGCTCACCGTTCACCGTTCACACATCGTTCACCAAGTTGCGTTCAGCGTTCACACATCGTTCACTCACCGTTCGCTCTGCGTTCGTTCAGCGTTCGTTCACCGTTCGTTCAGCGTTCGCTCACCGTTCAAGTGGGAAAGTAGAACGTTTCAGGGACTGTATATCAGTCTGTAGAAGATGTGCCATAGCAAAAATTTCAACTTGAGAAGCCCATGTTTTGTTCTTATCCATTTTGGTCTTTCTTATGTATTCACTTATGGATATATTTCCTATCAAAGATTCTAATTTTGCTTCGATATGTCTCATGTAGTTACATACATACTGTCTTATATAGAGATGATGGCCTTCAGTTCCTGATATTGAATACGATATTGCCCGAAAAAAGCAGTTTCCATCTGGAATTGTAGAGTATGTTTGACCAGGCTTAACCAGCTGTTGCTCATTGGTTGATGGAAAAAAGGGGTACATTTGGTTGTCAATGGAAAAAATTGCACACAGGTGACATTGCCAGTCAATAGATATTGGTTTAAAAATTAGAACAGAAGGTGGTTCATTATAAATGTGTTCAACTTTGCTGGTTTTACTGGTAGTTGCCAGGGACTTCTGCTTGATTTCCTTTTTTTCAACATTGATATATTGTTCTTCTGGATTCAGGGATAGGCTCTGTTTGCAACATATATGCTGTTTAAACTTTTGAAAAGAGCTGTATAATACATTGCATGTTGTACAATATGGGCAACTGTGTTTCTTAAGATTTGCTTCACTTTTGTAAATCCTTGCGCATTGGTTACATTTATGTACAGATGCTGAGAGAAATTGGCATTTATGCCTTTGCAAATTATATTTTGAGCAGAAGACCTGTCCACACGATTCACACTTTGCACATTGGTGTTTTTTTAAGCCAATTTTTGTTTTATATGGCTTTCCACATTTTTTGCACATGAAATCTGCTTCATTTCCTATGTAGTTCTGTGAAGCCATGTTTATTGATTATCTTCTGAAAGAGATAATGAAGGACTCAAATACCTTTCTCAAGTAATTTGCATACTTGTATATAAAGTACTCTTATTTGTCTTTGCATATTTGAAAACCAGAAAAGTGCCACCAACATCATATTAAAACATGCTAATTTTTTTCCAAGTGAAAAAGAACAAACAACACCAAAGGACTTTAAAATTAATGTTATTTATTAGATATATTGAAATGCACTTTGAGAGATTCATTTTAATTGTTGGTCCATAGTTTCTAATTTATTCTGAATCTGTAGAGGGTCTAGCAGAACCTTCAAATAACACAATCTGTGATTCGTCTACTTCTTTTATTTGTGTTCCAGGAGGATGTGTATCATCTACATCTTCAAAAATGTCATCTTGGGTAAAGTTCTGTAGCTCTGACTGAGTTTCATCCAATTTTGATTTTAGTGAGGCCATCTCAAGTTTACATTTCTTGAGCTGAGGCTCTGTTGCCTCCAGTTTTCTTTTCAATGAAATGTTTTCTTTGGTACTTTTTTCTAGTTTACCATTGACTTTTTCAATGTCTTGTTCAATTTTCTTTAGCTTAAAAGATATGCTTCTGCTGATGGCCTTAATTTTTCTGGCTGTTGTCTGTAAATCTGCCTCCCAATCCTTATCCCCTCTCTTTATTTTCAATATGCAACCAAGAATCAGGAGTTCTGACTCAGAAATTACATTCAAATTTTTTCTCACATCTTCTAATGTTTTCTTTGCTTCTTCCATTTTGTTCTGAAAGGAGAATTATATCTAAATAATTTTATATATACATTGTTTGGGTTATTTATTTTGTACTTTTCAGAATGAACTGTAGGGTTGTATAGTAATCATGATTTTCAATCACACTTAGTGTCTTTCCATAAAATTTTATCGGAGTAAAAAGCTAATCGTAGGTACAAATATTATCTAATATGTTTAGCAGGTTTATTTTAATTCCTATCCAATATCTTTGGACATGGACATGTGGAACAAAAGTGTAATGTTCATTTCTGGAACATATCTTCACAGATATTTGGGAGTTGTGCTCAAAAAAAGTTTCTATGACCTAATAATATAACAGTACTGAAGTCAAGGTCATTTGGACAAGGTCAAATTGGCAGAGATTGAAAATGTAAACTTTCCTGGGCTGTAATGTGTCTCCACAAAGGAGGGATTGTAGAAGCTTGTACACATGTACATATGCATCAACTACTTGACAAAGATTATGGGTCAGTTTTGATTTTTTTTTTGCATATTTTTTTTTTTGAAAAGACTAAAACTTAACATTTGATGCTTGTGAACTTGTCACCAGAGCCAGTGTCTTTTAAAACAACACAGTGTCATGGCTATACAATGGTATATGTTCAATTTTTGGACTTCAGAAGTTAAAATTTGTCAGACTTGTTGTTTATTACCAAATTGAATGTGTTGTAACGAGCCATTTTAATTTGGTTATAACCATCTGATATGGTGCTGAACTGAACAAGTAATGAAATTTTTATTTTGTTTTGTTTTCTCCTTTTTCTTCATCTTTTTTCAAGTGGTTCTTGTGTTGAATGGTAGTGGTTCCTTTTAGACAGTCTTAGTAAGTTAAAGATGGGAAGACATCATATCAAGACTTTTCTTTTATGTTTTATAAGATGTTGGTGTCACATTGTTTCAAATTCATATGTGAAAAATAAAAAAGTAAGTACTTACCTTTTCTGCTGCTTTTACAATCTGGTTCAATTTGATGAAAATTCAAATCTGTGTGGATATTTGTTGATTGTTGTTTTCTTGAGATTTTTTTTAAACAGAGATATCCATGAATGAAGGCAAATGCTTTATATATGAAATGTGATAATATCCAGAATAAT